AAAACAGACACTCAAAATAGAAAACACAAAATGAATTCAAAACTCAAAATACAAAACTGAAACACGAAGAGAACGGCCCCTTACTTTCTTTGGAATTCATTTTATTTCCACCAATTTTCCACCCTTACAATCAAACGGACCCTTAAGATTACAATCATTCATCTCAACTAAATATTTAATTATACGTCATGGGGAAAAACAAAATAAGAAATAATTAAAGTAATAACCAAATTTTGAAAAACAGGCAAAAGATGAAGATCTTGCTCTAAGAATATGCCTCTTCTTGTAAAATCTTTAAAATCATAGCTTGGATTATATAATATGTGTTTAATGAATCTCCAAATCTTGGATTGAACATATGTTATAATCAAACCATGCAAGCTTCTTTTAATTGTTTGACTCAGAAATGTATTTATGGAATAAGATTTAGGCAAAATCCTTGTTTAATTTGATTTCCATCAAAGAGTTTGAGAAGAAAAATTAAACAATTCTCTCTTCCAATTAGACTCTTTTTTTCTCATTCACTTTAGTCCTTCATTTTCTAATATTTGTAATTAAGTGCTCTTTATTTCAAAATAATAATAATAGATCGGGGCACCATACAGGGGAATAATTCCCTACGTACAGGGAATTATTCACAGGCACCATATAGGTGCTGCGTATGGTGCATTTTTTGTTTAGATGAAAATCAATCAAAAATTGACAAGTGTCCAATCTGTAAAAATTCTGTCAATCTCTCCCTGTAGCATAACTCGAAAATGAAATTGTGCAATTATCTACAACGGCTACTTCCTATAATATGTCAACACTTGGCTGTATGTATGGAAATATCAATGTGAGTAATGATATTCATAGTGAAACTATCGGTAGTCTCCATATGTCACATATATTTTCTTCTTGAATTTCTTTACTTCTTCCTTTCAGAAATTCCCAATCCATATTGTACCCGGGCATGTAAATTTCATACAGTACTTTATTGGTACCAAGAGAGGAAGAATCCTGAGATTTACCACTCATCTATCGACCACACCTTCGTTGGAGATGTAATTTGACCTCCTTCAGTCCTTTATAAAGACTGAAGAACCTCTTCTCTTAAGAGCTGGTTTTAAGGATAAATTTCACCGAAACTAGAGCAATTTTAAACAAGAAGTTAGGACAAAAGAGGAGTTGCCCCAATATAAAATGATAGAGAAATTTAAACAACAATGTCAATTGTCAAATGTGTTGCAACCATGTGCAAGAGACTTGTTGGGAATTTACTTAATC